TGACATATAGTAAGTTGTGAATAAAGTCATGCTGATAACATTTTCATGAAGCCATGACTCGATGCTAGGATTCTGTGGCAGAATTCTGATTCTAAGTTATTTTGACTCAGTTATATAGTGACACACTATAGTTTAATCCAATTGCACATATGAGTGCTAAGTATCTTTGCTATGTGTGCATTATCAAGGAATAGTTTGAGGTTTTAGTGAGAGTTATATTTTTTGAGGAAAAAGATAAGGAATATAGACTAGGGCTGTGATTTTACTGGCAAAGGGATTCCCAGGTGAGGAAATCCCCTCTATATCTGCAATGTATAGTCTCAGAGAGTTGTCACTTTCCTAGGATCATGTGTAGTTGTGTGTGTGGTTTGTCCTTTGTTCTCAAAGAGGACCATGGCATCAGGAAGATGTTGCCATGACTTGCAAGTGAGCTGGATTTAAGTGAGGGAGGACTATGCAAAGTCACCAGCCTCACTTTCTTCTTCAGAGTCATCTGGGTCCAGTGGCAAGATATCGATCAGGACGACTGGAGATGGCCCTGGATGTAGGGGAAAACAGTCCTAATTACTGAATGGGTGTTGCCTCAGTCAAAGTAAGAACCTGGAAAGGCCTTAGCTTAAAAAGGCCTAGGATCATATGGCTACTATGTATCAAAGAACCATGTTGCCTCATGAGGAAAAAAATGTCACAAAATGTCTAAAAATGTTCTTATTATGAAGAAATACACATGTGCATGTACATATATGTATGTATTTTTTTAGATCATGGAGAAAATGGTGGAGAGCCCTGATAGTAAAAGTTCGCTTGGAAATAAGATGCTTGTCCTCCCAAGAGTGATGGTGCAGAGAGGCTAAAGCTCTCAGGGTCAGAGGAAGAAGAGAAGAGAAGGAGAAGTTCGTGATTCCCTGCCCAGGGCCCTGAGGCAGCTATCTGTAGACGTGATGACAAAAACAGGAAGTGATTATGCCCCTGAAGTATATTATAGGCCACCTAAGGAGAGAGGAAATAGATGAGGAATTGAGGAACCTGACCACACATCTGGTACAGAGGCATGATAGGCAGTGATAGGGAAATTCAATTATCTACACGTTTGCTGCAGCGAGTTTTCTGCCAAAAGCAGAGGAGGCAATACATTCTTGCCTTGCCTCCAACAGGGGTAGGAAATAATAAGGTGAAATTTTATTTTGGGTCTGATTCTAATTAGCTAAGAGGAACCAGTTTCTAGATGGGAACTAGGGTGAAATGATGGCTTTCTTCTAGAGTTAATGATAGAAAAGGAGTAGAAATCTGGGCATAGTCTGAAATACATGTTAGATTTTGGGAAAACAAGATTTCAAGGGGTTCTGAGAAAAGATAAGCAGCATCCTATGGACTAAAATGTTACAGGCGAAGTCAGCCCAGGAAGGATGTGAACAAAAATACATAATATACTTAAAAATGAAATTCTGAACACACAAGGTGAAACAATTTCATTTCTGAGGAAAAGAAGCTTTGCCTGAAGATACCTATGTAGATATATAAGGGCCTCAGCCACGAACTTACATTTTTTAAAAAGTATTTGATGGAAGCAAGGGCAGGTGATAGAATTTTACTGTAGGGGTGTAGTATGGCCTTGTAAAAACAGTCAGGAATATGAATGTTCAAAGTGAGGTGAGGCTGCCAGAGGAAATGAGGGATAATAAAACAGCTGTGCATGTATGTGATTTTTGGGAAGAAAAGGAAGCTCAGGAAGAGAGCTTCCTTTCAGGGCAGCTAGGGGGTGCAGTGGATAGAGCACTGGGTCTGAAGTCAGGAGGACTCGAGTTCAAATCCAGCCTCAGACCAAACACTTGACACTTACTAGCTGCGTGACCCTAGGCAAGTCACTTAACCCCAACTGCCTAAAAAGAAAAAAAAAAAGAAGAAAAAAAAGAGAGCTTCCTTTCCTTGTAGTGGGTGGGACAATGTTAACTGACAGGAGTGTGAGGGCTGGGCTGTTCAGTTGCATTTTGCTTGTTTTCTCTGCTAAGAAAAAACAAGGGTCAATGGGGACTTGATCCCCAAGATAAGTGAGGTCATTGCCCTTGATGAATCCAAGTCACCTGCCCCCCGAGGAACCACCTCCTCAGGTGACAAAAGAGCTGGCAGATGTGATTGATGTGTTTTGTGGAAAATGGGGAAGGCACCACAAGATGAGAGAAGGGAAAATTTTGTCAAATTTTCAAACCACGGAAGAGAACAAATTCTGCAAACTACAGGCCAGTGTACTTGACTCCAGTGCCTGGGTAAATTCTGGAACGGATCATTTAAGAGATGAATAGTAAACACTCAATAAGTGAAGGGATAATTACATGAAGCTAGTGCAACTTCATCAAAAACACAGCATCACAGACTAACCTTTTTTCATTTTTTGGAAGGGTGACTAACCCGGTAGATGAGGGCAATACCACAGATATTTACCTGGATTTCTGCAAAACATCCGATAAAGACAGATATAGATTGGCTAAAAGTACAATTAGAAGAGGAAAATGCTATGAATATAGACTCCTGAGATCTTAGTGAGGCTTTTGGTACTATTTCTGTGGAAAAGGTATAGGTACGGATTAGATGAGACCACAATCAGATGCATTTAGAAATGTCTAAATGGTCACACTCAAAAGTAGCTGTTAATGTTTCAATGCCGGCATGGCAGGAGGTCTCCAGTTGAGTGCCCCAAGGATCCATGTTCTTCCCTGTGCTTTTTAACATTTTTGTCATTCACTTGGATAAAGGCATAGATCGCATGCTCATCAAAATCAACAAAATTTGTGCAGATGACACAAAGCTGGGAGAAACAGCTTACCCACAGGATGACTGAATCAGGATTCAAAAGGATCTTAAAAGGCAATGGCTGAATCTAATAAGATGAAATTCAATAGGAATAAATGTAAAATCTCATATTTGCATTAAAAATAAATTTCACAAGTACAAGATGGTTAGCAGTTTATTTTTAAAAGATCTGGGGATTTTAGTGGACTGCCAGCTCAATGACAAGTTAACAGTGTGAAGTGACCACCAAGAAAGTTTACACAATCTTTGGCATCATTAAGAGAGATGCAGCTTCTAGGAATAGGGTGGTGATCATCCCATTACACTGGCATTGTAAAACCTCATCGGGAGTAGTGTGCTAAAGTCTGAGTGCTAATTTCCAGCACAGGGCAACCAGGTAAACCAGCAGTGAATGCCCTTGAGGCTGAAAGACCAGGAGACGTTTGGCCTAGAGAAGAGTCCCAGAGGGGATGTGATAGTTGTCCTCAGGAGCTGAAAGTTTTCATATTGAGGAGAGAGTAGACTTGCTCTGTTTGATCACATAGGGTTGAACAAGGAGAAATGGGTAGAAGATGCTAAGAGGACAGTGTAGGCTGAGTGTCAAGAAAAATCTTCCTAACAATGAGAGCTTTCCAAAAGTGGAATGACCAGCCTCAGGTGATGATGGATTCTCCCTTCTCCGATGCTCTCCAGCAAAGATTGGATTACCAAGGTATGTGGCAATGGGGATTCTTTATCTGTATTGGCTGGGCTGCTTTGGGGCTTCTCTGGCTTTTCCACCATATGTGTTATCTTCCCTCATTAGAGTGTAAACTCCTTGAGGGCAGGGACTGTCTTATTTAAAATTTTGTCTATTCACTTATTTATTTTTAATTTATTTACTTCCCAGTGCCTGGCACATAGTAGGTCTCTTCCAATTCTCAAATTTTGTGATTCTGTCATTGAACCTGGAATCTAGGAGCTTATAAAAATTAATATGCACAAAGAATTTTAAGCATCATTTGTTATTTTAAGTATCATGTAAAACTGGCAAAAATGTCTCCTACCACTCATTCCTTAATTTATAGAATGTTTTATTAACATTATCAAGAGCACAATGACTACTTCAGTCTCCAATGTAATCAACAAAAATGGGCCTACCTAGAAAAAAGTTTGATTGCATATCCAGAATTTACTTACTGCAAGCATGACACATCACATAAAGGCATCAAGGAACAACATGTTTTCCATTTGTATTCATGCAATATCAAGAGACTAGACAAAGGTGCCCCAGGACAGTGGGTGGGAGATTAAAGGGAGGACACCAAGTTGCTCATGATGAGAAAGCAAGCATGCTTTGTCATCTCTCTTACCGCCACACTGATGGGATCACAGATCCACCGTAGTCTGGGAATATGATGTCTCCCAGGACTACTGTGATGAAAGCATTTGTAAACTTTAAGATGCTACATAAATGCAGGGATTCTATTAGAGGGGATTGGGATGGTATGAGATTCCTACCTGACAAATCTCTAAAAATAGGACCAATACTATCTGTCTCCAGTGGTTTTAGGAATAAGTATTCTTGGAACAGGGATCAGACCCAGACAACTACATGTGGGCCTTTCCATGATTCTACAATTTCTCTTTGATTCTACAATCACACTTGAGCTTAACACCAAAGATTTATCCAAAATATCATTTCCCTCTACTATAAGCCAGTGTCTTCTCACCATTTAATCAATCAATCAATCAACAAGCATGCATCAGGTGCCTTCGATGTACCTGTGCTAAGTGCCAGGGATATAAAGACAACAGGGAAGCACTCCCTGTCCTCAAGCTCTTGCAGGGGAGACAACACACACATCCATAACAAGCACAGACAGAATTCAGATGAAGCTAATGCGACTGAGTTTTGGAAGAGAGGGGACTAATAGCTGGAGGGGAAGGGGAAGGAGGGGATGGGGTCAGGCAAGGCTTCATGTAAAGGGTGCCTGGTCTGGGTTTTGCAGGAAACCGGAGATCCTAAGAGGGAAAGCACTCCAGGAATGAGGGGGAGTGAAAACACAGGGAGCTAAGAGACAAAGTATCACTGTGGGCACCGTGGCACTCAACATTTTATGTTCATTCCATCCCCTTGCATCCTGCGCTGCACTTCATCTATTTATGTTTACAAACTAGGATCAAACAGAATCGGTAAATACAGCAGTCACACCGAATCCGTCCAGCCTTACCGTCTGTTTGGTAGTTGAGCGCGACCAGCTGTATCCCATGCAGCCAGAACAAGAGGGGGTTGGGGTTGGAAGAGTCAATGCGTGTGGCAGCAGGGTATGTTCTCAGCAGCTGGCAGGCGGTGTGCTGAATCAGCTTCTGGGAATACCGGCGGCACAGTCGCTTGGCAGCATTCTCATTCAGGGATGAAATGTGGTAGCATTTTGGCGTCCTAATGATAGCGCTGAGTGACGGGGCTGTGCTGAGAGAACAGACCTCTTCCCAGGTCTGCCGCATAACATCAAAGGAACCTAAAGCCCCACAAAGATCAGAACCACAAACTCAAAAACTCTCTCAGAAGAATCCATTTGAATGACAGTGTGAAATCATAACTGCCCAAGGCTCACACGAAAAGAGTCGCAGAAATTTCCAAGTCAACTTAGGTTCTTCTTATGCAGGTATACTGGTTTGTACTGTGACGCCATGACCCTGTCCATACTGAGGGATGTAATGCTCTGTTATTGCTTGGAAAGTTGACGGTATATGTATTTTGTGTGTGTGTGTGTGTGTGTGTGTGTGTGTAAACCTAAATTCGAGTGAACTATTCCCTTGGCCAAGGAACATAAACTATGATTTACTAATCTGAGAACAGGGAAGTAAGTAGCAGAGGGAAGTGGGTGTGGAGAAGGTGTCAAATATTCATTGGTTCCACTCACTTATGTGAACCTTTATTAAGCACCTAATGTGTTCAAGGTATTGTACTGGGTGTGGGCTTATACAAATTAAAAAAAAACCATACCAGTCACTGGCCTCAAGGAGCTCACATTCTACTAGGGGATACAACATTAGGAAGAGATAAGGAAATACAAGATAATTCATGGAACAGCTATGACAGGGTTCTTTTGGAGGCCTAAGTCAAAATCCAGGGCATATCATTTATCTCAGCTATGCCAAGGAACTAGGAAGCCAGGGCGTCCCACCAAGAACTCCAATGGAAGTCTACTGGGGGCACAGTTTTGAAAATCAGGTCTATTAGGATTGGGGACCAGAACAGGGTCTAAAAGCTGAGGGACAGGCATCATGGAAACCTGACCTTAGGGGAAGGGGGGGGGAAGGAGATGGAATGGAGGGAGAGGAAGACAGAGATGAATACCTACGGGGCTAGTCTCCTAAGGAGGACAGAGAAAACTTGAAGAGATAAGGGTAGGAAGTCTGAAGCCTAGGGGAAGATGTTAGAAGTCTATTAGAATAGGGTCTTCTGGGGGCAAGGAGAGCTCTTCTGTGAGTCATTGTTCAGTGAGAAAACTCATGAGGAACGTAACTGACTACAAGGGTTTTGTTGAAAATCCAGCAGATGTGAAGTCCCTATGCGGACCTACTGGGGAGGAAGAGTAGGGGAGACAGATAATCCCTGCCATCCTGGAGGCTCCATACTTACAGCTAAGGTTGGAGAATCATATTCTAACCATTGTGCCAGACAAATCTACTTCAACCAGATATCTAGAGCTTGATGCCACATTTCACGCCAGAAAGGAGTGGACAGGTTAACTAAGGACAAGATCTGGAAAAAAGGAGAGCCAAACAAGGAAAAGTAAACCAAGAAAGATTGAGGGCCGGGTTCCCGAGAGCTTGACTATCTGTGGGACTTCTCTAAAATTGCTCTTCATTTTCTGTTACTATTTCAGGCCCCTGGATGTACAGGAGATATGACCAAGAGGTAAGCTTGGGTAGCTTAAAAAGGTTAAAAGATGATGACTTTGGAACTTCAATTGTAAGTATAATCCTCATCAGTTCAATTCAATTTAACTGCACAAGCTTCATCCCCTTCTCTCCTCCAATATGAGCTTGCAATCCTCTGGACTCTATTCTGACTCAGTTTTCTTTGGGTCTCTCTCCAGTCTCCAGCGTTTCTACTTGCTCCCTTTTATAGGTCCAGGTTGCTGCTCAGAGCTATAACGTGATAACAATATAATATGGCATGATAGAATATAATGCCAATATTCAACCAATGAGGATGTTATATACTTACCTAGGAGACAAATTCAAGTCCTGTGAAGGAGGCACACTCAAAGTCCCTACAAAAGGTCTCATCTTTTAACCTTGGTGATTTGCCAGACTCATCCAGTGTTACATTCTCTACAAGTTTTCCTGCAGTATTTGTAGTAACCTCTACTAAAGTTCTACTCCAATAGCTCATTACGGTGTGACTGTGACCTGGGTTCTTTTAGTCTATGCCTGTGGAGTGTGAGCTTTGGGAGGGCTTATTAAACTGAAAAGGCCTGGTGACAGACTTGCTAAATTTGGAGAGAGACATCATTGAAGAGTAATTCTTATTCTTATTTTTATTTTCTGGTTTCTGGCAACTCATGAAATTCATTGGGGGAGGCAGGGAGTAGAAAAGGACGGATGAAGGGAGAGCCCATGCTGGAGAACTAACAGAATTTTCAAAGTGTTAAAGTAGGCCCTCCTAGTAAAATCCTTAAAAAACCCAAAAAACTAAACTAAAAAAACAATAAATTGCTTATAAAGAGCAAGGAAGGAGAGATGAAAAAAGACTATATTCTCTTCTTTGGGAAAAAGCAAGTTGGAAAGCAACTAAGAGGGGCAGCTAGGTGGTACAGTGGATATAGAGTGCTGGACCTCGAGTCAGGAAGACATCTTCGTAAACTCAAATCTAGCCTCAGACATGTACTAGCTGTGTGACCCTGGGCAAGTCACTTAACCCTGATTGCCTCAATTTCCTCATCTGTAAGATGAGCTGGAGAAGGAAATGTCAAACCATTCCAGTCTCTTTGCCAAGAAAACCCAAAATGGAGTCACAAAGGGTAAGGCACAACTGAAATGACTCACCAACAACACAACTAAGAACTAGAGTAAAAACGTTAGCAGTGAGAAATCAGTAGGGACACAAATGAGCTAAGTCTGAGGACCTGCTGATGGAAGAGAAATGGAGGCCATGAGGTACAAGAGGTCGTTGGTGCCACAGTACAAATATGTATACTGACTAAACAGAACTTTGCTTTTACATTCTGAAGTACACTTTTACTCTGGTAGGAGATTTAGAATAATTCCAACAAGCTGCAAGAAATACAGTAACCAAAAGTATAAGGAGTTTTTTGTTTTGTTTTGGCCAAATGTCACGAAATGCTTTGCATTTAGGTTTGTTTGAAATAAACTTTGAAGTAGTTGTTCAATTTGGATAAAATTTGGTATATTAGTAAAAAGCATCAAAATACAACTTGAAGTCTATTTATGGGTTAATTTGTCATCTTGAAGAAAACGGTGGACAATAAAAATGTTCAAAATGACATCTTTTGGGGGGATTACACGAAATGAGGATTATAATTCACAAAAGAACCACTAGGGTTTTCTTTAAACTGAAAGATTTTTCTGATGATGTCTTCAGTAAATACTGCTAAAACATCTCTGGTAAATTATCATGACTCTCAAGAAATTAAAATTGCAAAATGGTGGTTTTTTTGCAATATGAGTACCATTTTACTTTTTTTTTTGCTTATTATTACCCAGTTACAGTAGGCTACATGAACATTCATTACAAAAAAACAATTTAAACATTCAAGTGAAGATTACCAACAGGAAAACATTTGATCCATCCAATATACAGAATCAAGCAAAGATATTGGTAAGAAGCTGACTTTACTTTTTCCAGATGTTTTGGTATATGCTGCTGTCTCCCCAGGGCTTAATCTGCCCGGATTGTTGCCAAAAATGGACTTCCTGCTTTTCCTTTCTTTTCCTCTGCTAGAGCCAGATGGGTTTAAAGTCGACAATCCTGTTCCCATAAAATTAGAATAAATAAGCCAAAAACTGCAAGCAAAGGAACTCAACATTTTCCATCACCGTTGATGTTTATTTTTAAGCACTACTACTCCCTTGTAATATAATGTGTAGGGCCTACTAACATTTTATTTTTTAGTAGCCTTAATAACAGTATTGAGTCCAATTATAAGATTGCTCTTGCCTTGATTAAAAAAGAAAAGTTGAAAGAAAATGCATAGTCATTAGAGAATGGCCAGAAATACTACATATGCTAATGTCAAAATAACACACTAACAATGGTCTAACAGAAAAAAAAAAGATGTACAGAGAACTGTTATTTGGGGAATCATTACCAAATGAATGAATTATTTTGTTACTGATTTTTTTCTATCTCTTTCTGGCATAATCACCTTGTTTGATATCACAGACTCAGTCAGAATGGCCCTTATCTGCCCTGGACCCAAACCAGAATCTCCTCTATACCACACCTGACGAGGTCATCCAGCCATTGTTTGATGATATCCAATGTGGAGGACCCCATTACCTCTGGGAGACAGCCCACTCTAACTGGAAGTTTTTCTTAATAGAGAACATAAAAGTGCTTCTTTGCAGCTTCCACTCATTGCTTCCTAATTCTGCCCTTTGGGGTCCAGAACAAATTTAATTCCTTTCTTCACATGACAGAATTTTGACATAACTATCATCTTCCCCCTCCCCCTGCTTTCTCTTAGCCAGGTTAAATACCCCTACTATACTGTCACATGTTTCCTGGTTATTTAAGGTGACCTGGGAAGATCTCTGCCCCAAATAGCCCCATTAAAATTCCATTATTGGAAATCTATTCCTTAAAATTAAATCTCTTTGAATGGTCCTCTTTTAAAATGAAAACAGAGTAGTACACTTGGGAGTACCAGGAATTCTTCATTCTGAATGAGTTTGTTTCCTTCATGATAGTAGAACCAAGATGAAGTGGGTTGTTTTTCTTTTGAGGAGCCAGGGATTATAGTATGATCATTGAAAGCACAGAAAACGTAAAGGAAAGGGGAGGTGGAATCTGATGAAGACAACCTTCTTTTCACAAAAGTTTTAAGTGATTTACTTAGGTGACAGATCTGGGATTTGAACCAACAATACTGGTAGCATTGTGTTGAATTAGTCAAAAATTCTTTTGGTATGTTTCTTCACATCAATGTTCTGGCAAATGCATATATACCAATATAGAAAGACTAATGCTTATGTTTTTTATTCATTAGTTACTAATTCTGCCAGATAGTATTGTAATACTTATGATTAAAGGTCATCTTTTTTGAGAGAGAAAACTTTTCTAGAAGACAGTACAAATGACACTTAACCAAGCTTCCTAATTAATAGTGTGTTAGTTTTTTTATAAGTGTACCTTTCTTTACACAATAGATTATCCCTAAAAGTTGTGTGCATATCAGATTTTTGTGAACTAAATTTTATTTTCCTACTACATGCTAAAAGAAAAACAATGGTTTTCATGATATAGAAAACAAGGATGCAAGGCAACTTAAAAAAGTCAAACTTTTTTTTTGGTCACAAGTATGGCTTTCTAGGTAAGTTATAACCATTCATCACTATATATCCCATCTAGTCTTTTGGTTCAAAGTCACCTTTCTTTTTTCTTCAAACTCAATTGTCAGAAACGTTGCTCTTAAATTTGCCAAGAGCATACGCCTATTCTTTTCAGCTACTACTGGGTATCTTCATTTAAGACTGACATTTAGTTTGTCTTGTCCCCTAACAAAAGTACATCCACAAGGATGCAAGGGTGATTGTTGTCTCTTGATGGCTGGGGTAGGTTTGGCTCATCTGCCTGGGTTACAACGCCAAGGAGAGGAGCACACAAAGAAAAGTGTCAAGAACAACTACTTTTACTTCTTTCAGACAAATTGGCTCGTCAGCTCTGAGGTCTGAGAATGCATTGTAGCACAGTCCTGATCCAACAGCTCTGACAGTCTATCCTTGTGATTCAAATGGCTCATTAAAAAACCATCAGTCTGCCAACAAAGCATGGTTTTTACTGCTGTAGGATTTCTGGGCTGCCAAGAAAATTAATGTTTATGCTGAAAGAATGGGCTAAAACTTAAAATGAATAAGCCACGATATCCTTTTAAATGATGTAACTGGAGCCCTGGAGCCACAGGGATACTGCAGATGGCACACCAATCAGTCTGTAATGGGCTTGTCTCCAATATAACTACACCCTGCACTTCACCCATCATCACTCAATATACTCAACTCTCCTCCCTCCCCTGCTAGGTTCTGGTAGCCAAGCCCTTCGGGACAATAGCTCTCTAGTCATGACCCAAGCACCTACACATACACAGGCAAAATTCTATTCTCTACCCATCTCCCAGATTACTTTGTAGGCGTGGGGAGTATCACGGGTAGTAAAGAGCCCTACCTCTACCCCTTTTGCTTTCAGTAAGCTAGAGTGGGTCAGACATGGTAGGGATGGAGTGAGATCTACACGTCATTCAGCTCTTACTATATTATCTTTCCCCTTACTACTGTTGAGGAAACCACTACTCTTCCAGTCACTTAGCTTGTAACCTTGGAGTCATCCTCAGCTTCTCACTCTTACTCACTCATATATACAATCAGTACCCAAGTCCTGCTATTTCTAGCTCGACAACATCTCTTGGATATTGACTCCTTCTCTCTACTCACACAGCCATCACCCTAATTTAAGCTGCTATCACTTCTCACCTTCACTACTGCAATAGACTTTCAGTCTCCCTCCCTTAAGCTTTTTTTCTCCAATCCATCCTCCAATCCAATCCATTTGGAGGATGCCAAAGAAATTTACCTCATGTGCAGAACTTGTTGTATTGCTTCCCTTCTCAATAAACTCTAGTGGCTCCCTATTGAATCTAGGCTCAAATATTTCATCTGTATCTCATTACTCAAAAATTTTCTAATTTTATGCAAGTTTTATAATATATAATAATTAGTATAGTGTACATGAGTATAATTTACAAAAATACACATATTTGAAGTACATGCTCAAACTTATTTTTATTAATAAGGATACTTAATAAAAATATTTGGAGATAATTACAGAATGAAATTAGGTAAGGAAGTTTGGAGAAGTCAAAGAATGTTTCAAGGATAAAGCATAATTTGAATTGGTCCTTAAAGATAAATTAGCCTTATAGAGGCAAAGAAGAGAAGGGTAAACACTCAATCCTAGAATGAATAGCAAAAACAGAGGCATGCAAGCAAGAATAATAGGATAATTATTCTTACTGGGGGACAGTAAGGAGACCTGTCCGACAAGATTGACTGTAGTCACTTGTGAACAAGACTGAAGAGATGGGCCAGGGCCATTTTATGGAGGATATGAAAGTCAAACAGAGGGGTTTAGACTCAATATTATATACAATAGGGGACCATCAGAGCTCCTTGACTAGCAGGGTGAGTGAATGTTTTAGGGTGATTATGTTGAAGTCATATTAATGACAGAATAGTAACTAGAGTCAGGATCACCAATAAGGAGGCTGTTGTAATAATCCAAATATGAAATGATGATAGCCTGGACTACAGTAAGGGGGAATAAAGAAAGAAGTACAAATTTGTGAGATATTTCAAGGAAGGAAACAAGAAGACATGGTGACAGATTAGTTAAAGGGGAAGAAGAGGGAAAGGTCAAAGACACTAAACGAAATTTGCTAGACTATTAGACTAGAAAGAGGAGAGGGCAAATGACATAAATGAGATATAAAGGGTAACTGGTTTCAGAAGGATGACAAATTTAATTTAGGATGTAATAATGATTTGGAGTTTGCAGCAAACTATGATAATAATAATAACAGCTAGTATTTACGTAGCACTTTCACATTTGTAAAGTCTTTTGCATATGTTAACTACATAATCCTCAAAATAACCCTGTAAAACAGATACTATTATCATCACATTTCACAGGGATCTGAGGTTGAGAGAGTTTAAATTATTTGCTTGGGGTCACTAAGTGTTGAAGACAGTATTTAAACCCAGGTTGTCCTGGCTCCAATCTCTGCCCTTTGCACCCCATAGCTGCCCTGGCCAAGCAGAGATGTGCTGTTGGCAGTGAGAAATCTTGATTGGAGACAAGGTAGTAACTAATCTGGAGACACACATTTGAGAATCATTCATATGGAGGTGAACTGAAATAATAAGAATGAATGAGTTTACCAAGTAAGTGAGCCAGAGGGAAGATTAGGAAGAGAAGATATCAGAAACATGGGGGACATCACAGTGGGAAGTAGAAGGAATAGAAACAAATAAAGGGAAGAGAGAAGACGCAATCACAAAAGCAGGGGCAACAGTAAAGTAAAATTCCAGGAAGCCAAGGAAAGAAAGTTTTAAGAAAATATAGAGTCAAATATTACATAGGATCTGAGACGAATGCTGAATAAGGGGGGGTATCCATCAGATTAAATAAGTAGGCGGTCATTGGCAACCTTTAAAAGTTTAGGTTTAGTGGAGCAATAGAGAAGAACCTTGACTGAAAAAGATTAAGAAAGGAATGTGTGGAGAAAAAGTGGGAGATGAAAGGATAGATTACACATTCTAAAAATTTCTTTGAAAAAATGGAGGGTGGGTGGATATTGAAGAGTAGTTGTGTTTTTAAGATATATGGAACATTAACAAAAGATGAAGAGGAAGGTAATTACTAAAAAGATTTGGCAAGACCTTCAAAATTAACTTAACATGTATTTCAGTGCTCAGTGATATCAATGCGAAATTGGACATGGGAAGGATGATGAAATGTGCATTGGAAAAAAATAGTCCAGGAGTAAGGAATAAGAGAGGGCGAAAGCTTTTAGACCAGAAAGAACCCTTATGGCTATATATCATTAATAATTTCTTTGAGAGGTGGAAAACTCTGGATATGGTGAATACTATCTACATCATGAAAGTATAATTAATTATAATCTACGTAAGGAAAATAATGACTATCAGTGGCGGAATAATTTCCCAATCAGTTGTCTGCATATAGTCAATCCT